GAGGAAATGAGGAAAAAGCCATTGGTTGATCCTTTGATGGAGCAAATCAACCTTGTAGATCATTTTGGAATTCTACATGCTGAATAATTTTAATCAATTTCCTGGTTCTTCTGTAACTTGATTTTTTGTCTCAATTTGGCATGTTGAAACAAAATAGACAAGCAAACTTGTAATTTCTCCACTGGTATCAGTTATAGTTGGTGGGGTTTTGTACTTAATGGTACATGGCTCCTTCCTCACTATAGTCTTTGACAATCTCTATTTCAACTTTAGGATAAACTTAGCTAGATTGTTTAAAAGGCATTTGTGCTTTGTGCTGAGTTTTCTGATGAGACTTATTGTTGGTGCGAGTGTTGAAAATTTACTCATATTCATGTTCTTTCCATGTCACAGATTTCTATTCTGTCATGTCAGAGGCCAGTGCGAGTGATTTTGATGCTGATAATGAAAGTCAAGATGGAGGAGATGTTGAATCAGATGAAGATGACGGTATATTCTTTGATACAAATGACTTTTTGTCTGCAGATGCTTTAAGAAGTGCTTCCTATCGGAGTAGGGAAGTTACTGGAAATGCTGGTATATATGATAAAGATGGTTCTGATCGTTTGCTTGGGGTTGAGAAGGAGATCATGACAGTTCAATATCCGTATGTTAAAAGAAGAGATAATTTGCCAGAACCGAAGGAGAAAGAGAAGCCTGTTGGACTGTGGTCAATTATCAAGGACAATATTGGGAAGGACTTGTCTGGTGTTTGTCTTCCTGTTTATTTTAATGAACCACTCTCTTCATTGCAGAAGTGCTTTGAGGATTTGGAGTACTCGTACTTGGTTGACCGAGCATTGGAATGGGGAAAGCAGGTCAGGTCCTCAGCTGTGCTTTCTTTTGTGACAAAGCAGTTTTAAAGCATGATCTGCTTGTTACATTTTAGTCCAGGTAGTTAGTTGATCAAGCATTGGTGGACTGTAACAGATTTTTTATTTTTATTTTTTTAATTAACGAATCAACTTCTTTCCTTTGTTTTGTTTGTTACCACTGATTCAATTTGGTAAATAGCTGTTACTTGGGTTCTTGGTGATTGTAATCCCCATTTAGGGAACTTGGAATGGACTGAGGTCATTCTGCCTGCCTGTTCGATTTTAGAGGGCTATCTGGGTTGAAAAAAAGCCTGTTTAAGGCATTTATTTCTTGTTATGGATAATGAGGTGTTCAGACCTTGAACATATTTGTAGAAAACTAATATTGTGTCAGCAAGAGTTTATTGAAAACTCTATTTCGTTGTTTTAATTAGTTCCATTCCTTGGTTCATGTGTGAATGGTTTATGGTGGATCTTATATTGTATTAGGATGTCATTGAGTTAGCATTCTTACTTGTACATAATGAGATTTTGCATGTTGCAGGGGGATGATTTGATGAGAATTCTAAACATTGCAGCTTTTGCTGTATCTGGTTATGCCTCAACAGAAGGTCGACAGTGCAAACCCTTCAACCCTCTCCTTGGGGAGACCTACGAGGCTGACTATCCAGATAAAGGACTTCGTTTTTTCTCAGAAAAAGTAATGCTCTTTCTTCCACCTTATGTTTTAAATTGATTGTGACTAATTCTTGAACCAGATGTGCAATTACTATTGATGTTGACTAATATCTAAATAGAAATGAATCCTAGTTCTCTCTTTATCCTTGATATGATGTTTGACTAGCCTTTTATTCAGGTTAGTCACCACCCTATGGTAGTTGCTTGCCACTGTGAGGGAAGAGGCTGGAAGTTCTGGGCTGACTCCAATCTCAAAGGGAAGTTTTGGGGGCGGTCTATTCAGCTTGATCCTGTTGGTGTCCTCACCCTGCAGTTTGAGGATGGTGAGACCTTTCAGTGGAACAAGGTCACCACCTCCATATACAACATTATACTTGGTAAAATTTATTGCGACCACTATGGGACAATGCGCATCAAGGGCAGTGGAAACTACTCCTGCAAGCTCAAGTTCAAGGAGCAGTCCATCATAGACCGGAATCCCCATCAGGTAATTATTTTATTTCTCATACAACCAATGGGGCAGTTGCCCTCTTTAGTTTTTGTTCCAAAAAATAAATTATGAATATATTAAAATTAAAAGCTCACCTTGTACTAAAAGATGTTTGACCTCCCTGCCCTTTCTCCTAATTTGTAGAAAACCATAAAGAGAAAAATATTTAAGTGGAGTAAGGGCAAAAAGTCAAGTGATTTCATCATTTTCGGTTCTTGCTTGTTAAAGAGATTAACAACCTTTCCATCAATGTATATCCTAGGGCCTTTTGGAAGATTATTAATCCATAATCCATAGATTGCTAGCTGCTGTTAAACCATGCAGAATGCTTTATGAAATGTATGGAGCAGCAGAAAATTGAGCCAGAAAAGATAAGATAAAAGAATTTAGACGAATAATAATGACAGTTTTTAAGAACTCAAATAATTAGTACTTTGAGGCAGCTTAATAACATACCTCAGCTCTCCTATGGTGTGTTTAGGGTTCTCTAATCCACTCATGAGACGTGGAAGAGTTATTTCATTTATTCCCTCCCCTCTCTCTCCTTAAAATTTGGATATGGTTTGCTTTGCTCTAACTCATGGTAGATGATGACTTACATGGCTTTCCATCAGGCTTTATTAGTTTTTTCTTTCTTCATGCCTGCATTATACATAAACACATAGAAGTACTCCTGGTGCATGGCTGCCTCGTTAACATAAAATTGGGATCCGCCATGATAGCTATCCGTGGCTCCAGAGCTACATTGGGAGTTTCTAATGATCTCTTTATATTATAAACAACATGAGAGAGTATGATAACAACCAGCTCCGTTTGGGCTAGCCCAGAGCTAGAGTTGTTACAGCTATTATCATACTGTGTATATATATATAAAGAGAGAGAGAGATCATTGGGCCGAAGTCCAAAGCATTCTCTTATATTCTCTCTTAATATAGATTTATATTTATGTTACAAGGTATAGAGATAGAGTATACTATCAATATTAATTTGTTATTCCACTTCACTTTTGTTGTAACGACCAATATAGTCATATTTAAGCAACATGTCGAATAATATTACAACACAAAAGTGGAGTGGGAATAACACCACCCTTAATTAATATAGACTTTAATGTTGTTAAAGCTGCTAGTCACTCTTAAGCTCTGAGGGGTTTTAGCCTGGGCCCAAAGTCCAAAGTGCAAGTGTGGTATTAGGTGAACTACGTCGCACCCGTTTAGTAACATAAAAATGGTTATGTTACAATATGAGAAGTGTTTAAAAGGTGACATAACGCCTTTTCTTTACTGTAGGTCCATGGATTTGTACAAGATAATAGAACAGGAGAGAAGTTAGCAATGCTGGTTGGGAAGTGGGATGAAGCAGTGTATTATGTGCTTGGGGATCCAACTACAAAGCCGAAGGGTTACGATCCAATGACGGAGGCTGTCTTGCTCTGGGAAAGGGACAAATCTGTTACCAAGACGAGATACAATCTCACCCCTTTTGCAATATCTTTGAATGAACTCACTCCTGGCTTGTTGGAAAAATTGCCTCCTACCGACTCAAGATTGAGACCAGATCAGAGACACTTAGAAAATGGGGAATATGAGTTGGCTAATTCAGAGAAGTTGAGACTGGAGCAGCTACAAAGACAGGTACCTGCTTGTCTATCTTTAATATGCGATGCCATAAGCTGAACAAAACAAAATGTTATGGCTCTGCGGTTGGAGCATTTGTTTTTCCTTATAGTTCAGTCATTTGTGCAGAGACTTTTGGCTGTCTCATCATCTATAAGATCTTGTGATGGAATCCCTTTTGAAGTTTATTCTCCCTTTAATCATTAATTTCTCTTCTGTGCTGATTGATTAGATGATATCAAGGTGCATTAGGATTCACTGGGTTTATGGCGTTGTAGCATGTCTATCATTCATTCTCCCATGCTCATCAGGAAAAACAAAAAGGCTGCATTCTTCTTTTCTTTTATTTTTCTCAAGTAAAATATACGTTTTCTTCATGAAACAGGCGAGGAAATTGCAGGAAAGGGGGTGGCAACCAAGATGGTTTCGGAAGGACGAGGATGGATGTTATTGTTATATTGGTGGGTACTGGGACGCAAGAGAAAGAAAGAACTGGGACGGAATTCCTGATATATTCGGTCAGAGCACCGATCCGTCTTCATGTTTAGCAGAAGAGTAAGCAAGCGGTTTCGAATGTCTCAGCAAATGTATTTTGGTTCCCATCCTCCATGTATTCTATTTTTTTTCTCCCTTCCCTCTGTTCAACTGGGAATTCAAAACGAGAGTTGTGATATTTAAATGTTGCTTGTGTTCTGCTGCAAAGACGTTCAAGGTGTTTGCCTCGTATATTTACCCTAGGAAGTCAGTTAATTTACAAGGGCCGACGCTCGAGTAATTAATTTAGCCACACACTTCTCTGTAGCAATCATCTTTTTTCAATTTTTTTATATTTTTAATTTGTCTGAAATTGTTCCCATCCATGAAGTTAAAAGAAGTTTTGATTCCAAGGTTGTTGACACTTGGAGGAAGGCGAACAAAATTTCTGGACATAAAAAATGTTTTCTTGGGAGGGGCAACGCCTCATACGATCGACCTTTCTTGGAAACTGAAGGACTGGACCGAGTCCTTGATCATCGAAGTCTACGAAAATTTTAAAGTTTTTCTTGAACTTCAATATATATATAGACTGTTTTAATATATTAATATTAAAAATAAATTTAACCCTAATAAAAAGCTGCTTCACGTAGAAGCTTTCATTAGCAAGTTTACGTCGCCATATCCTTCCTGTCTATATAAAAAAGAAGCGTCATGACGTGCTAATACATGGTTCTGATGATTTCCATGCTTTCTTCCCCGGAACGGTTCTGCTTTCTCGTTTTTCTCTTGTTCAACAGATATGGCATGGAACAAGCAAATAGAGTCAAAAGAAACAACCTGTTTTCATTTTCGCAATGAAATCATAACAAAGCAGCTGCTGGGCATACCTCGGGACGTGAACGATCATGTGCAAACTGGTTTGCTATTTGTTTGAACAGTGGCTCATCTGCATCAGGAGGCACCTGATACAACAAAACAGTGAGGAGGGAAGAGAACCCGAGAAACAGAAGAAGATGAAGTCCGAGACAGTAAATTTGCAGGGGAAAAAACTACAATCAAAGCATTAAGTTCAATCAATCAAAATGGAAAAGTAACAAAGGCCATGGCCATCTTTCTGCTGCCACAGCGTAAATTTCATTCATTCTAGCACCACACCTGAGCATATTTCTGAAGAAAAGGATAAAAATTCAATAAAATCAACCAGTGGAACCCCACAGTTCTAGCAATTACTTTCAACATCATCATCTTGACCTGGAGTTTACACAGAAATTGACATCAATAAAAAATGTCCATTTTAACTGAAAAGTATACAAGCCAGTTCAGCATTTTGGGAAAAAAGGAATCTCAATTGTGTTCTAACATTTTCTTCATTCTTGTTGCTCATTGTCCAGGAACCTACTTCCCAGTTATTTTTCAGAACTCAAAATAAGGTATACATAGACACGTGCATAATTATATGTGTTACCCAACATATGATACATAAGCTCAAAAACCATTTGTAAAACATGTCGGAAAAAAAAGCAAGTGCATATGCTAAAGGGCACACCACAAACTCTTCCAAAGCCACGATCTCATAATCACCTGAAAACATTCATCGCAAGTCTGAAGGCGACAAATTAACTTCTCAGCAACCCCCTGCAAGCAAAATGGAATTCTAAAATCTCTTTATCCCACATACAGATGTTCAGAATTTCTGTGGAGCTACATGGAGTAAAATAGGCAAAGAGAAAAAACCTATGCATCTTTGAGATGGTAAAATAGTGAATAACAATTCGAATTGCTGTTTTCCAATGACAATCTTTGCTGCCTTTTCATGCTACATATGACACGGTGCAGTGTTGCTTTCCTTTTCTTTTTACTAGCTACTGTACCTTTATGGCTTGCCCGGAATTTTGAACAAAAAACAACAAACTATGGTAAACTAACCATGATTTTTCAATCTTTAATTTGATTAATCATAACATCTCCTTCAGTGCATCAATGCCAATTCTGCCAACAAGAAAGGGGTGAGGTTGGGTAATATACCATTGACCATATAAATTGGAACTTGAAAACACAAGTTAAGGCTGATTTGGGTGTTCGGTTTCATGTGACGTTAGGCTGCTGCGTATACTGTTGTGCTGTTTTTTTGGGGTGGATAGAGAGATTGAGTAAGAGGACCAAAGTGATGGGTTACCTTGGGGATTCATGTTCATGTTGGTGGCTCTGTTTTTTCTTCTATTTTCTTCTAGGCAAGCTACATGTTTAACGAGTTAGCAATAAGTTACTAGCCATGTGGACTACTATGATAGCACAGGTTGCTAGTTACTGTCGAATGGCTGCCTCTAGAATTTCGCAATAAACAAAATATAGGGTATCTGACCCCTTATAGATACTCTTTATTAATGACAACTTGAGCGGTTTGAGGATTCGGATCATCTTCGCCACTTGAAGCATCACAATCACCATCTTCAATCTTCTCATAATCAAGGAGAAATGACAGAGCAGCAATCATGATTCTGACAAATGCAATCAAGTTTCAAAAACTGGAAAGCACAAATGACAACCCCCCCCACAAAAAAAAAAGAAGTCAAAATCAAAAAGAAAAGAAAAGAAAGCTGATGAATTTGCTGTTCTATTATCAAACCGCACCTTCCTTCAGTGAAGTTCACATGGGGTAATAAGCGCTTTGTTCGCTCATACTTCATCATCTTGCTACGTGAACATTTTTTTATAAAAAAACAACCGGTCCAAACCTACGAAAGCACAAAGATAAATCATAATCCAGGCTGCAAAAAATTACAAACCTGCAGCATGGAAAAGAGGATATTTTGAAGGACCCGATTGTTAGCCTCATTTTATGCTGCTTATTCATCCTCCTAATGCTATGAACAACATGAGTAAAAGCCAATTTCCTCAATGTCCTATTTCCCAGTGTTTGAAGCCCCATATATAACGCTAGTGTTTTCACTAATATCAACCATCTACAAACACATTATGTCAATCAAATTCACAAAATTAGAAAATAATAATCACAAATTAATGGGCAATTCAAAAAAGTACAGAGAGAATGTTTTGACTGGGCTTGTATGATAGAACAGCCTGTTTAGAGATAAGGAATGTGTCAGAAATAAATTCAACCTGACTATTGTTATATTACTTGAGATGCCTGACAATGAACTTCTAGAATGTCCAAAGTAGCACCTTGTAAAATTGCTCCGTAGGCAGCTTCTGCTATACAAGTTTATACTGAGCCTAAGAACTTCCATAAGAAATCCTTCGCTGGGAAATTGAGGATTGAACTGATCGGTGACGAGGGTTTTGTCATGGTTGAACTTCTTGTTCTATTAACTAATTTAAACCATTGGCTTTCGCATGTGTTATCTTTACTCAAACATTTGCAAGTACTTGTAACAATGGTGTTGGGTATGCCCTTCGGTTAATCAGTAGAATAAGCGCTTGAGTATCATGATACCGAAGACCTGAAGGCAGTGTCCGAGCAGACGATTTGAGAAACTCAGCGAGTTGCTTCGGGTAAGAGGATGTAACATGAGCCAAAAACGTGGCGCGGTCACTGAGATGCTTGGAAATGGCCGGGTCAGCGCAGATACAGGAGGCTGTGGAGAAATTGAGAGCTGCTTGCTGTTGAAAAAGCTCCACAGCCGACTTGAATTGGCTGTAAACCAGACCAGATTCTTTTCGTAACCTTCTGGGTCTATTTTCATTTTGGATTGGAGAGATGGAAGGCTCAACTTCTCCGAGCTCCGTCCAGAAGCCGACAGGGAATCCGCCGTCGACATTTTTAAGATTGAGAAAGAAAACCCCTGCTAAAACCCCAGGGCCTGCTTCATTTGATCGTTACGAGCCGATGCATCTACGACATCGTATTGGCGGAATTTTTTCCCTCTCCTTCTTTTGACTGAAGTTGAGTTAATTATAACTTAGTCCCTACAGTTGTTTGGAATCAACTGATTAGTCCATTTAATATCAGAAATAATAAAATAGTTAGTCTGAAACCTGGAGGAGTGAGTAATTAGTATTTTAAAACTTTAGGGACTTGTATGTTATTTATTCGACTGAAGCCCGCAGATAGGCAAGGCCCGAAGGCATAACAGAAGCCAGAAAATTAGTTTCGATTCCTGTCTTCTCTTCTTGAGGAAGGACTGCGAGACTAGAGTGTAAAGAGACTGAAAGTTGGAGGCAGGCAGGCAGCCACGGCAATGAAACTACAAGGTTTAAGCAGTATAAGAACAATCAAGGCCATGAAAACGGGGCATTGCTTGGCTCAGTTTTCAAGTCATTCTCAGGTTCCTTTTCTCTTTCCCTCGTTGTAGATTTCTTTCTGTTTTTCATGAATTGTAAATGTTATAGCCAGCCCAAGTGATTAGTGAGTAAAGACTTTACATTGTTGCTTAGATTTTCTCATACAGTATATTTTGTTATGGGTAGGGAAGAAGAAGAAGAAGAAGGGAAGAGGGAATAATCGGGAACTGTATGCTCTGCTTCCATGTTTTTTTTTTTTTTATTCTAGAAAGAATGCAAAACAAACTCCAGTAAATTTATTGGTTAAGGCCTGAAGTTTCTTTTCTGGGCAAGGGCTGGTGTTGATTTTTTGTTTCTTTTCCTTTGCTGAAGTAAACCGTTGAGAGGTGTGTTAATCATTTAAAGATTATGTATTTTCCATTCATTTCCAGGGTCTTCCTAAAGTTAAACTGAGCGATGAAGAGTTAATGTCAAAGGTGCTTAATAGAAGATGGATGTTACATATCCCAGATACTGAAATTCACCAAATAAAGCTTTTTCCATCGCAAGGACGAAATAGGGATGGACCATCCGGTAACTTATCCTTTTTGAACAATACCAGACCATATTTTGGTGATGACTTGATGGAGAAGGGCAGTGAAGATCCTTTCTTCTATGTTGTAAGGGATGATTTGTTGCATCCGTTGGTAAATGGTAATAAAGCGAGAAAACTAGATGCATTGCTCCCCCTCCTTGTAGATTATTCTGTGACTGATGTGGTAAGCTAGCATTCCTTAAGGATATAGGATAGCGATTATATGTTATAATGCAGGGCTTCTCCCCTTTATTGTGAATTATATGCGTAGTTTTGCTTTTTTCTGGAGCAGCTGGTTTCTGGTTTTGCATTTTAGTTATGTCAATGATTGGCTTGTCCTTGTTAGATTCAACCTCAAGGGATCTCAGCTCATGCACGTAAACATCCACTGTAGTTTTTAGGGAATTATGGCATGCAATAGACTTCACCAAGCCATTCTCTCTTCAATTTTAGGGACCTTGAAGACCAAATAACTTTCAACTGTGACATTTTTCTAGGTTACATGTGGAGGCTGTCAAAGTGCGCACGCAGCAGCTGTTGGTAGGTAATCTCTTGCTGTAGTGACTCTAGGACATTTGCCTGAGTTTTATGGGATTTTCTATTTCTAACAAATAAATATGAGATTTTGCTTGGCTTAGTGAGATATGCATTTTACAGCTGTTTCATGTGCTGAGAGAGGGCTAAAATCACATTTGCTTCTGAGAGGAGAGCAGCCTGAAATTCTGACCGGCTATAACCTAATTTCAACAATATATGGAGATATCACTTATGTTCCTAGATCTATTTATGCCCATCGGATGAATATGCTGAAGAGTCATGCTGGATTGGTGGCAAGCAACACTGGCCATATTTTTTGCTGTAATGACATCCTTGAGTCTTCTTTATCAGCCCAGTCAAGTACTCCATGCTCTGGGCACATAGATGCTCATGGAAACACTGAGAACCATCCAAGAAAGGTTGTAATCATCAATGAAGGAGCAGGGGATGTTGTAGCATTACTAGGTAAGGTGGAAATCCTATTTCTGTATATGTATGTGAAGGCATACTTGCTGAGAAATCCTTTTCTTATTGTGGGTAATTGTTAGCTTTTAGGGAGCAAGTACAAAGACAGGTTGGAAATCTAGATCCTTGGTAATCATGCCAATGAGGCACTACTACCCAGGCTCGTGGGATTTTCTTATCTTGGTATCATGTTGAGGATTCTGAGTTACTCTCTGCTAATGCTCGTACAATGTAATAGATGAAGCACAATGTTTAATTGACATGCTTGTCTCAAAGAATCTCAAGGTGATTTACCTGAGGCCTATTTTATGCTCTTTTGAACTGACTGACAGTTGATGAAGGTCAAGGAGAACAACCAGAAAAATGTTCATGGTTCTTATGGATTGCCGTGACTTTGAAATGTTTAGTTGTGCATTGAACTTTGCCAATATCCTCATGGTCTCTGGATTGTTCTTTGCTGCTCTGGGCTGTGTACCAAGGATTGACAATGTGCATAATATCTATTTGCTTAATGATTTAAGAGAGTATTGGTTCCCTTTGATTAAGAATGCACTATTTTTTTTTATTATTTCTATACTATCAGTTGGAACTTGTCGTTGATGCAGTTGCTAGTGCTTCCAACAATGGCTTATTTAACGTGATTCTTTCTTATAGGTGTCATTCGCCTGGTGCAGTATCTATGCCAGAGTCATTTACTTGGAAAAGAGAGACAGATAAAGCTGGTTGTAGATGCTGGCACTGGAACAACAGCCATCGGTTTGGGAATTGGAGCCAAATGTTTAGGGTATGTTCCAGTTTCTATTAGAGCCTTCAATTGACCTGACTAAATATTTGAATGATTGTGTTACCTACCACTCCCAGGGATTGAGTTTTTATGTGACCATGCAATGGCAACACTATTAACTATTTTTTGTGACCTCTCAGGCTCCCATGGGAGGTAACTGCAGTCATGTTGGCTGATACAATTGATGCATACAGACAACAAGAGCAAAAATTAATTTCTGATTTCAGGACACAATTTGGTTTTCATCTTACTGACCATTGCTTGAATGAAGTAGATGGAGTTGTTCATTGGGTTGCGCGCTGCCATCAGAGAAAGTGCGTAATGTGCTTATCATATTTTGCTCTTTCAAACTTAATGTTTCCATTTTTTTTGTTGCCCTTAAATCTATGTAACCAAGTGTTTACCCTTTGTTTAGCAATTATATATGCGCAGAATTGTAATAAAAAGGTTCCGAAAAAAAATTCTAGTTATAATATCCATGCAAAATTCAGAAGCAGAGAAATAAAGAGAGAACTGGCATTTTTTTTTTGAATCTGGAAGTAGAAGAATTAGATTATGAAGTTTCTTATGCAATGTGGGGGAGAACTAGGAGATGAAGAGAACGTATTAAAAACAAATTGACCTGGGTTGTATAATATTTACTGGGTAATTATCATTGGACCAATGAGTCAGAAAAGATGAGCCCTTTTTTTTTTTTTATTCAATCCAGTGTATACATCACTCAGCCTCCTTGATGGTCTCTGCTGCTAGTTTCACTAATTCTGTAAATTGGCAACATTGTTTAGGAGTTGCCCGTAACAATTGCACAGCTATTCATTGTAACCTACTTATAAATTGTGAGATCATGCATGCAGTGTAGCCTTCTTCACAATTATTAGTTTAACGTCAGTGCAAAAGGGTTATAAATGTCCCCCGAAGGGAAGTGTTTTTTCAAGGAGACTGAGAACTAAGTCTTTATCTGTGATGTCATGGGCATATACAGTGTAAGATCTATTCAGGATATCTTTTAATTGGAATTATTTGTTTTGGTTAACAACTTGAGACGAGTCTTTCTCTCTCTGTTAGATTTGGCAATATTTTGGAAGGAGAAACAGAGACATGCCAACAAATTGCACAGCAGACTGGTATTCTAGTGGATCCTGTGTATACTTTGGCTGCATGGGAAATGGCAACACAACTTAGCAGGGAAGAAATGGAGGGGGGTGCACGAGTGGTGATGCTTCACACAGGGGGCACTCTAGGCATGTTTGGTTTAGCACAGAGGTATAAATCTTACTTCCGTAAGCTCAGAGAAGGATTACCCTCTGTAAATGTTGCACTTCATTAACTTTGTGTGTGATAATACCATACCATTCAAAGAGTTCTTCCGTACCAATTATTTGTAAATCTTCAATGCAAACTGCGCAGAAGAGTTTTCGTTGCTATACTGCATGTGACTGCATTTTCCCGCTCTTGTAATCTATGGACCTTGATTCCAGTCTTTTCTTCACATTGGGTTGGATGCAGCGTGCTATGACATAGACATCTCTCATTATATTATTTACCGCAAAAGAAAACAATGCAACTTTTGCTGTGTTCTTTTACTCAATCGGAACTAATCATGTGCCAATCTCAGCTCTCAGGCTTCATATCCAAAACAAGGGGAATTGATTTTTTTTCAGAATTATTGCCCCATTAGTATTTTGTAGTATAGCGAATAAATGGGTCCAGAAAAAACCCTATACAATCGCAGGTCTTGTTCTTAAACTTCTAGTCCCCGCATGGGCAACTGACAAGAAGCTCTCGCCTAATCTATTACAAAAAAACAACAAACACGCGCAAAACAAAAGATAGTCGGACAATCTCGTTACTATTTGATAAAAAAGTGCAGTTCCCAACTGTGTCCTGATGGTCATGATCTGGTGTGCGTTTGTTTGCCAGGTGAGCCTCGTGCACCTCGCAAGCAAATGTAGTTTTCGTGTGTTTGATGTTGTAATGGTTTTTATTATTATAATTTAAATATATATATATATATATATATATATATATATATATATATATATATATATATATATATATATATATAGTATTTTTTAATCAAGATTTTAAGATAGTTTTTAGCTTATACTTTCAAATTTGTAGCTATAGCAAAACGTAGACAAACGAAAAAAGAAAGTGAAACCATGGGGACTAGGGAAATAAAATAACAGGAGTCCCAAAAGGAAATCTGGGAAATAGA